AATGAGCAAATGGGTTCAGTCTTTATGTGAGCTCATATCCAAACTCATCCCAGACCACCTAGCATGCCGATGAGAAAATTCTCAGCATTATTACCATTAAAAAGTGTTCCACACTTCAAAGGGCAATCAAACCACAAAGCCTGCACAGCAATACAAGAGCATGCTGAGCGCCAGTCAGCCAGAGTGCAACCAGCCCTATTTTTTTCACTTCCTTCCTTCCAGCTATTCCCTGAGCCCAGCAATGGGCTGGCACACCTCACAGACACATGTCCAGCTTCCACCTACTTCAGATGCGTGCAGATAGAAACCAAGACGCCTTTCCCCATGGGCACCAGCCTCACCCTGGGAGCAGCAGCCATCCTGCCCTGCATAGAGTAGGTGCTGAGCATCCTGCCTCAAGCTGACGTCATGCCGCTCAGCTCCCTGTCTTGGGCTGTCAGCCTCAGATTGCAGTGGCCAGCCTGTCCCACGTCCCACCTCACTGCCCAAAGGAAAGCACTGGAGCACTGCAGAGCCTGGAAGCAGTGAGGTCTCCCGCAGGGGAAGGCGGACCAAACTGCAGCCCTTTGTTCTGCTGCGAGGCAGCCCAGGCTCTGATGGCGCGTCGCGAGGGAGAGGAACGCAAAGAATGCACCAAAGCAAGAATGTACAAAGCACAGCTTGCCGTGAAAAAAACCCCACAGAAGGCCCTAATACAATGGTGACAGGGGGCTTTCTCCAGCGCAGCAGTAAGTCTGCACCAGAGCAGCACCGCAGTGCCCACTTTCCTTCCCCAGCCCCTGAACGAGCACAGCTCCCTGCAGGATGTGGCTTCCCCAGCACACAGCTCAGCATCACCAACCCATCGCACACCCTGCACACAGCTGAAGTGTATAAAGTCAGATGGAAAACTGTTTCTGCTTGAGATGTGCAATTTTGTAGGGTCTGGCTCCAAAGACACTGCAAGAGAGCATTTTTCCCATTGGTAATCCAAACCATACCAATGCTCATAGAAATACTCAAACAGAACCGAAACCCTGGAAGCTCAGGCACACCGTTTGCTCACAACCAACACCAGCAGTAGTTTATTTGAATGCGCTTTCATGAGGTGAATGTGACAGAGCTGCTGCTTCCCAGTTAGACAGGGAGGCTGACAAACAGCATTGAAGAATGAAGAATTACACTGCTGAACTGAGCATTGTCATGTAAATGGAGAACGTCACATGGGAGCTGCGCATTGTTCCCAGAGAGAAATGCAGAACTATGGAAGCGAGTTCAATGGAGTCCTGCCACTGGGGCACTGGGTTGGGAACTGTCTGGGAGGCAGCTGCAGCTGCAGCTAACAGAGCTGTTCATTAAACTGGGGTCTTACATCATATGTATATATACATACACACACACACACAAAATAAAACAGAAAACACTTTTGTGGCCAAAGAGACTTCATAAAGTAGACTTCATAAAGTTCTATCTAATATGCTATCACTTTGCTGAACTTACAAAACTTCTATTAAAAAACCATTTTAGCAAAGCAGAGGAAGAGCTTTCCTATTAGAGGTTGGCGACCCTGAACATAGCAGAGGGGTTGAAACTAGATGATCGTTGGGGTCCTTTTCAACACAAGCCATTCTATAGTTCTACGAGTTTATTCCATTCAGGCTCTGCTCTGGCAGCACAGATAGCAGGAATGGGAGGAGGCTAAGACCCGAAAGCAGGCGGCACCACAGGGGTTCGCAGGGCACAGCAACACAAGAAGTGACCCCGTTACAGGGCTGGGATGCAGCCCAAGCATCTGGCACAGCTCTGCCCATATCACCCACGGGCAGCATTCCAAAACCGACGGCTTATCAGCGTGCCAGCAGGGGCGGGTTGGCTCAGATTGAGCCACACAGCACAAGGCAGGAGGACACAGGTGGCTGAGATGCAGCGGGACGCAGCGGAATGCAGCGCAGCTCAGGCAGTCAGCACAAAGGAGGCAAATCACCAACACGCTTTACTGAAATATCAGTTTCTTTAGTATGTTACAGAAAAGCTTATGAACATAGAGAATGTACATAAAAGGCAGACTTTGTAAAATAAAAAGGTCTTTTTGTTTATAAAAAAATTAAAAAGTCAAAGTAAAGTGCATGGAACAGTTTTTTTTTCCTCCACTTTTAACTTTTGCGCCCAAGTCTCAGCACAAAGCGATGCTTTGGGGGTCCTCTCCTGTCACCGTCAGTCTGTTATTTTACCGTCAAATCAAAGGATGGCGACGACTACAGACACACACTTGGGGGATCAGAACAGCAGAACCAGATGAACCCACAACACAGACTAACAGCTACCAGAGCACCCGCTCACGGCTGGACACGGTACCAGCGACAGGTCTGCTCTCCTTAAGGGAAATCGGTAGGAGCCAAGCTTCAGAGAGAGGGCAGTTCGCCAGTCAGGGGGTGCCCCTTCGTGCGACCAGTCCTCGGTCCCAGTGCCAAGGTTCGTTTGCCACAGGAGGAAGAACATGTTGAAAGCACTCCTTCCACATCCCACGGAGGAGTTGAGGCCGAAGGGACCTCCGCGGCCCTAGTAGGCAGAGAGCGGGGAAACAGGGAGCGGAGGCGCGGGGAGGGCGGGTGCTGTCAGAGCGCGGCGGCCTGAGCGCGGCACTGGGCGATGTGGCGGTGCACGAAGTCAACGCGGGCCTGCAGCAGCTCGGCCTGCCGCTCCGACAGGAAGCCGAGGCGTGCCCAGAGGGGCTCCCGGGCCCGGTAGCGGCGACGCAGCTCGGCGGCGGCGTTGCGCCGGCGGTGCAGCTCGGCCAAACGCCGCGCTGTGCCCTCGCGGAAGACGCAGACGGAGCGCAGCAAGGGCTCGTTGTAGGGGTCCCACGTGGCGAGCAGGCGGTAGCCGTGCACCAGCCCCGCCTCGTTGTCCATGAAGACCAGGCCGCCGTCGGGGGCGCGCAGCAGGTTGCTGGTGGCACGCCGCATGACGCGCGGATCCCACTGCAGGCTGAACAGGTTGCTGGCCAGGCGGTCGAAGTTGGCCGTCAGGTAGTCGAAGAGGATCAGGTCGCTCCACTGCACCAGCTCCACCAGCTGCGCCGCGGGCAGCCCGCCCAGCTCGCCCGCCGCCAGCGCCCGCGGCCGCCCGCCCCCCCACGGCGCGGGAGCCACCACGGCCGTCAGGTTGTCCACCCAGCGCGTCAAGCTAACCACCGCGCCCTCGGCCCAGTGCGAGCCGCGCAGCTCCTCCCGCACCGGCTCCCACTGCCGCCCGCGAGCCTCCACCAGCGCCAGCGCCATGGGCGGCAGCCGCTGCTGCATGCCCAGCAGCCCGGCCAGGTGGTAGGAGAGCGCCTCGCCCTGGATCTGCTCCGGGCTCACGCCGTAGCGGACGCAGGCGCGACTCCCGTCCGACAGCCGGGCCAGCCGGTTGGAGCTGCGCCCGCAGCCACCGCGCTCCAGCGAGGCCACGCGGGCTCCGCGAGCCGCCGCCCGCCACGCCGCCGCTTCCTCGGCCGCGAAGCCCGGCGGCACCCGCGCCTCCAGCTCGCGGCTCCAGAAGATGCCGCGCCGCACCGGGGCCGCCGGCGGGTCCTCCTCCCCCTCGTCCTGCTGCTGCCGCTCCCGTCCCGCGGCCAGCAGCGCCCGGAAAGTTTTCTGCACGCCGCCGCCGCGCGCCTCGCCCCGGGCCGGCCCCGGCGCCGGCTCCCGCAGCGCTAGCAGCGCGCCGAGCAGCAACAGCAGCAGCAGCAGCCCCAGCGCCAGAGCGGCGCGGCCGCCCCGCTCCATGGTGCCGCGCCTCACGCCGCCGCTGCGGGACGCGGCGGCGGGGCGGCCCCGGCGCGGCGCATGGCAGCGGCGCGGAGCGCAGGAGCCCCGGCGGCAGCCCCGCGCCGAGTGCGCCCCGCGCCGCCGCGGCCGGCAGGCACCGGCCCGCACCACGTGGGGAGCCGCGCGGCCCGCCCCGCCCCGCGGCGTGGCGCGACGCTTAAAGCGGCGACTCCGCGAGCTCAGGAGGGCCCGCGCGCCGCAACTCCGGCTCCGAGCGGCCCCGCCCGCCCCCGGCTCCCCTCCGTTCGGGCTGAGGCCGGGCCTCGTGGGCCGGCGCGGGACCTCTCCGCGGGTTACCGGCCCGCCCCCGGCCCGCTCACGGCAAGCCCGAGCTCCCGCCGCGGCGCGCCAGCTCCTCCCGCCGGCCGCGGCGCCTCGCTGCAGCTGCAGCGCTCCCGGTGGGGCGGCCCCGCTACGTGCCCACAGCGACCCTGCGGGGAGGCTCCGCGCTGCCCGGCGAGAGCTGCGACCGGTACCGCTGCCCCCTGTAACAGCTTTGCGGGAAGACCGAAGGGCTGCTGGAAGCCGTGCCGCTGCTCGACCTGTCGCCACGGCACGCCAGAGTGTTTTTAGAACCTGACAATTAGTATAGTGTTAAACGTCAGCCTGGCTGACCTGCTGCTCGATTTACAGCACGTTAAGCATTCCTGAAACCGCGATCACCGATCTATTTGGGTCAACCAGGTGTCTCATTACTGCTTCACAAACGCCCCTGTGAGCAGCTTGCAGATAAACGAGGGCAGCCTTTGGGCTTCCCAGGCTCATCTCAGGGAAGACAGACTGGCCATTGGCCAGATCCAGCACCCTCACAAGCAAAAAGATGAAGTCTCTGCCTTCCCTCTGTTGTTCTCAGGTTAATTCAGTTTCAGCCACTTTACAAAGCCAGGCCCAGAGACAGGCTGGGGAATGGTGGGATCAGCACAACACAGCTGAGCACGGGATCAGGGCTCGGGCAAGCTCCGATCTGCATCAGCATCACATATCTCCACCTGACACCTACAGCCTGAGGCTTTTGCACAGTCCCACTGCCCCCTCCCTGCTGTTATGGAAGGTGTTCCTAGCACAGACATCTTTGGACTACCATGATCAGCCCTTTTGAAGTAATCCTGCCCAGAAGCTTCTCACCCTTCTGCAAGCAACGACAGACACTTTACATTCACTTTTGCCTTTGGGGAGAGGGGGGGATTCCCACTGCCAGAATTCACTCACCTCTGTGCCAAGTCCTTGAGCCCAGGGACCACCACATTAACTCAGCAGGGCTGCCAGTTGCTTCCCAGTATGCAGCAACAAGGTGAACCCAAGCTGTTTCTTCAGTGTGGTCTCTCAGTAGCACAGCACAGCACTCCAAGTCCTTTCTTTACTCTGAGTTCTGGTCCAGGCTTCTGGTGGAAATAGGGATGCCTCTCTCCAGTCCAGCATTATCTTCCTAGGCTGACTCTCCTAAAGTTCTTTGTGCAGCTTCTTCCCACTTGTGGACTTCTCCAGCTCAGTCTGTGTTCTTTTTAATTCACACCTCAGATTACCAAACAGCACTACTTCTCTCTAACATCTTCCCCACCACTGCTCACACCTATTTAGTAGCTGTGGCTCCTTGCAGTCAGCTGGTGCCAATGAGTTCCCAAATTAGTGACCTTCACTGTTTTTTGGTTTTTGTTTTTAGTTGGTTGGTTTGGTTTTTTGTTTTGTTTTGTTGTTGGCTTTTTTGTTTTTTAAAGGAACAGTCTCCAATTCCTCTTGGGACAGGTGCAGGTGTGGAATTAAGCTTGCTTGAGAAGGTGAAAAAAGCTGTGGATGGGCTGTGGAAAGCAATGCTCTTACTTCTTCAGTCCTGTATGTTCCTTGTCCTTCCATGCTTCCTTTGTGTTTTCATCCATTGGATTTGTGAAAATGTGGTTTTCAGGATCTTTTTATGTTGCCCTGATCTGTACCAGCAGACATATAGTACTGCTTTGCTGCTGCAGGCTGGGCTGAGCACAGCTGCCCAATGCTGTCTCCTCATTCTTTCCCATGGCCAGGGAGCCATTCTGTCTGCCTAGATGCTGGGGGGGGAGGGAAGGGGAAGGAACTGCCTGCAAAATGCTCTAGTGCAGATGCAGAGTTACCAGCAAAACAATGCCACTGGCAATGCAGCTTGTTCCTCTTGGGGAACAGTTGGATTTTTGGATTAAGTTACACTGGCAAAAGCTTACTGTACAAAGTTATGTGCTTAGCATCACTGTTTACTGTTTCCATTAAAGAAGTGTTTTGTACAAAGGTATCATCACTGTAGTCCGTGTGTGTGCCCAAGCATCACAATGGATTTGCACTTTTTAGTTTAGAAGTATCCCTCTTGTGAGGAACTCCAGCAACTGCAGGGTGGGATTTGCAGATGGTTGTTTTGACTGCACGGCTGAAGAAAAGCAGGTGGCTCTGAATCTCATAGCAGAGAGGAGTATTAGGGACCTCACACTTTAGGCATGGGGCTGATTTTTGCAGAGTTGCAAGCTGGAAATGTGGAAGCTTTTCTATTGCTCATGTTCTGCTTTCGGTCCCTCAGAAAAGCTCCCTGACAAATGGGACTCTGTAGGTCTTTTTTGTAATCTGAAGCGCCATGTAGAACATGAAGCTGAGCAATTTCCGTATACAGAACAGATCATATCTCCCCTGTACTCAGAAGCTTTCTGTTTTAATATCTGTGACTCTGTTTTTAATATCAAAGCAATAAATGAGTAAGTGCTCGAGCTCTCAAGCCTGGCTCTTGAAAGTGTTCATAAGACTTGTCAGGTGCTTGATGGTGTTCGATCCGCCAGGGAATTTGCTCTTATCCCTGCTAAAGGTGAGCTGCAAATGCAGAGAGAAGTTGGTATTGCAGCATCCAAAGCTCCCTGCCCTCCCTGAATACATCCCTTCTAGAGCCATCTGTGTCCATTGCATAAAACACATTTTTTTCAGGGTGGGAAGTAAAGAGGTTCAAGGAACCTTTTCCAGTGAAATTGCTGAGGCAATTTGTGTAATCACCATGTGAGAGGATAAATAATGCAGTGGGTATGTGCCCCTGCTTTCAGACAGGGCTTCCTGAAGGGTTAGATCCCATTGCCTGCAATTTTCCTGTCATATATATTGATAGCAAATCTATTCTCCTCCTGGCTGCCAAAACACACACGAGAAGAACATTGCTCAGTGCTGCTTGCACAGTTATTCCAGGCAGTTGCCTTGATGCAGCGTAACACAAGAGAGAGGGCAGACCCCAAAGCGGTGTCTTTCTGGAAAAGAGGAGGACAAAGCACCTGGATCACAGCCCATAGCCATTCTCTATTCCTCACCCCCATACTGCAGACCTATAAAGAAACGTGCATCATTTAGAAAGATACCGTCTTTAAAAAAAGACTCCATCATCTTCTGGTAAGCTGGGCAAGGGGTTAATTACCCTTACCGTTAAAAATATCCTTCTGCCTCTAATGCTTTCTGCAGGCACGTAGGCCCTGTGAAGGGCCCGGTTAGACTGGGATTGACCAGACTTGACTAGAAAAACGAGGCCAGGCTAAAGGTAGAGTTACTACTGTTACAGGAAGGAAAAAAACGCTCGTAAAACGTAGCGTCTATTGCAAACACACACCCAGGACACATCTTAAACTTTTCAGCAAGTGCCAAAAGTGTGCAGCGTTTGCAGGGCTGGTGAAAGCACTGTAATTAGCCATGAGGTAACAACCCCAGCCGTGCCGGTGAGCAGCCAGCAGCACGCCGAGCTGCAGGCCCAGCTCCTGGCCCTCACAGCCCTGTGCCACACAGCCGGCATAGCCAGCTGTATGCTGTCCATGCTGAGTACCTCAGCCTGCACCTCATACACCGGGGCCTGCACTTGCCCATCAGGGCCTTCCTAGCCTGGCCCTCGTCACTCAGGCCTGCATAAGGGCCCACTGAGCTCACAGTGTGCAGCAAAGGACGCGGCCTCCAGCCCTGTGTGGGGATAGAGTCGGCTCCTGAGGAGAGCTGTGGGCCCTTCTCAGGTGACGGCTTGCTCGTTGGCACCGGGCCGTGCTGAGGCTCTCTCCTGTGGGGACTCCTCCTCCTCCATACTTTGCTTGTGTGGTTTCATGTGGCTTGAATGATGGGATTTCCACCCCTCCTTGCAGACATCTCCACCAGCAATGCTGACAGTGGCTGCAATTCCTATTGTGATAATGCTTCTGCACGCTCCAGCTGTTACATTAGTGACTGATGTTCTCAGTCTTTACTGAAGAAACTAAATAGGGTCTACCTTGACACAGGGAAGGACAGCCAAACTGGAGGTAAGCCAGCTGAGCCCGGATATAATCCAGCTGCAACAGCCAACTCAAGCTCAGAAACTCTGTTTCAGGTTACGAGTGCAGGAATTCCACTGTGCTTGCATGGCTTCCCTGAGCTCAGACTCCAGAGGACCAGTCAGCTCGGGTCAGGGCAGCTCTGCATGGCTCGTCCTGCAGTGGAGGTGTCCTCGTGTGCAGCCTGCTGCTGCGGGGTGAGAGACAGCAAACAGAAGAAGCCCCACACCTCAGCCACGAAGCAGTTCCCATTTGGAAAGCCCCAGCTCACCATTATTCTGTGACTGGGGTCTGTGACATTGAGAAGTTTCCCTGCTGTGCACTCTACATCTTAATGGGACCTATTTAAATTTCTAAGCCCTAATAAACAAAGCATTAATATTCAATAAATGTCTCATTGATTACATATTTACTTATCTGCTATTTAGCTAGCATCCTCTGAAGGAATGAATAAAGAGTCAGAAGCAAGAGAGAGTTACTGCCTGTGATTGTCTTTACCTTGAATCTTTTACTTATGGTGTTCCCTCTATGATCCTAATGGCAGTGGGAAAATATCCTTCAGAGGGCAAGGGCTGCAGGCCCAAACTGGCTCTGCCCAATATCTAAAAGCCATAAGCATACTTTTTATTCACTAGCCTTTATTAAAAATACTATAACTTTTTTTTTTTTTTTTAAATGTCAAAATGTATTCTAGCTCTCAGTGAAACCCAAACATGTTATCTGCAAACGGGAAAGTATTTCAGCTCCTGCACAACTGAACTGGCCCAAAGCACTGCCCAGCTCCTCAGCCTGCAAAGGCTTTGGTGCCACTGAGCAGCTCAGCAATGAGGAGGTGCCTGGTTGGAGCTTCAGGCTGTAAAGCCACAAAGTAAAGGTGTGACCTGCATGACTGCTGCAGCTGGGCTATGCATTGTGCTGTGTGCTGGTGCTGTATGCCTCCATTGCCTCTCCAGGGATGGAGATGCTGCTCATCTTCTGTGAGCCTTCAACCAGTCTGGGACTGCTGGGTCCAGGCTGCACCTGACACGTGCTGCACAAAGCACGGCTTTTGTCAGAAGAGATGAAATAGAAAAGTGCAGGGATGAGTCTCTTACTTATCCTTTCTCACAGCCAAAAATCTGGCCTGACAGAGCGTTGGTGTTTGTTTCTACAGCTGGCCCTGCTGCATCTCCCTGCAGCACCAAGTGTGACCCTTAGCTTGCCTGTGCCTCAGTTTCTCAGCTTGCAGAACAGGATGTTGTAAGGATAAGTTATTTGATAATGTCCAAAGCAGTCCTCAAGTTCTCCTTGACAGCTGGAAACAGCTGGTAGGGACTAGAGGATACCAACACAGCAGAACTGTATTATTTTTGTTATCACTGTTCACTGTTCACTGTCACTGAAATTAACTTCTGATTTGTGTATGACTGTGTCCTTCTCACTGACGTCAAGTTAAAGAAAGGAAAAAAGCAGAAGGGTTTTAGGAATAAATGAGCTTCTTTTCATCTTCCATCTCATGCTTGGTTTAGCCTTCATCTCTGTCCTGCTCCTATGTATTGCCTTCAAGCTCCCACAGCATGTGGGTGGAGAGGAAGGGCAGCATGGACATTACAAAAAAAAGAGCTCTTCTTCCTCTGGGAAGCTGACCAACATTTTTGTTTTGATTTATCCCAGTTTCCTTGCAAATGACTTTCTGCCTAGCTGTCAAACTTTCTGTAAACACTTCAACAAGAGTCATGAAATAAATCTCCCAAGGAGGAGAAAAACAAACACAGTCACAAGACTGAAGTCAGTGCTCTCTTCCTCCTGCTCTTTACTGGGCATCACAAGAGATGATTTTCCACCGTGTCACTAACAGAAAACAAAATAGACCAAGGAGATAACAGGATACAGCACAACAGGGAAGGGTATGATGGAGAAAATAACACCCATGTATTTTTTGAAGCTTTGTGATGCATGTGAGCAGACTTCAGTCTACTTCAGGACTGTGGAGCAATGGAGGCAGACACAGCTGTGCCAGGTACCTTCCCAGCTCTGTACCATATACATGCACTGCATTTCTCTAATTGTCCTTTCACACAGCTCTTCAGATAAACTATAAACACACTGCAGAGCCTGTGCCACCAACAGCTCATTGAGCTGCAGCACTGAGGGTTTTGCAGCCTGAAGCAGCAACATGAAACACCTTTCAGTGCCCCCTCTTTTGTGGAGAGAAGACAGTGAGGACAAAGCCCTTGTGAAGACCCTGGGCCTTCTTTCTCCATGTGGAAGGCAGAGAAGGTACTGGTGGGAAGGTGCATTGCCTGTGGCGGAACTGACTCTCCCTGGGCTGTGGTATCAACAGCACCATGCAGCCATAACCTGATAGCATCTCTCACCAGCAGCTGCATTGCTCAGGAGCACACCAAAGCCTCCGAGAGCTTCCCATCTTCTGCTGCCAAGTCAAGGCAGGCACAATATTCACTAAATATGCAACGGAAGGGAGATATTCAGGCTCCTCTGAGATCGGGCTAGATAGGCTTATATCATGAATTCTGCTCTGGAAGCAAAATATTTAATGTGCAACACCCATCTTAATTGCTTTATTACGTTAAAATGTCAAGGTTGAATCTAACAGTCTTTACTCATGGTCAAATGTTCTGTAATGGCCAGAAGCAGTTAAAATGCCATCAATGTGCAACGAAGAATCGCTAGT